ACAAAACAAAAATACCCCCCCCCAAAAAAAAAAAAAAAAAAAAAAGCTAAAAATGCCGCAACTGATTAAAGAAAGGCATACAACAGGGCAAGATTATAGGGCTGCTTGTGGCATGACCTTGGCGAGTTTCCTCAGTGCTGTTCGAACCGTGGCGGGGAGAGGGTCGCTGTGTCTCGTCTCCCGCCTCAGAATGCCTTAACAAGTGCTCAAAGAATGTCGATCCTCACTCTGAAAGGAGGAGTTGGAGTAAACACGGAAAAGGTCAGGAAATCGAGTGTAAAAAGGATGATTTGTTTGTGTAGAAATGACATACGTCGTTCTGTCCGAGGTCTGTTTAAGAGAACTGTATCTCCTTGTTGTTGTTTTGTGTGTTGTTTTGTGGTTATTTGCTGCCTTGTCGTTACCGTCGACCTTAAAATCATATTATTTATAAGGATCATATCTTTAACACTGATAATGATACTAACAGTTATATAATATATAGTAATAATGGAGGCAAGACTGAGAAGAGAGTAGCACCAACAATAATAATACTGGTAATTAAATAAATTATAATAATACATAAAATAATAATTCTGAAAACATTGATGTTAGGTTTGTTTTTATAATATATCAGTGGCAGTAATAATGATAACATTGATATCAAAACAACAGCAACAACAATATTGCAGGTAATGAAAATGATGATAGTAACAAATATGATATTAGTTCTTATGATTATTTTGACGTGCAAATCGAAATGGCAAAGCCAATTACATTCTGATAGTCAAATTTCAGCTGAAAAAAAAAACAGACTAATTAGTATGCTTAACAGTGCATTCATACGATAATCTGCACCTGCTTTTGTTTTGTTACATATGTTAAGTGCAGTTCTCTCTTTATTTGGCTTATGCGTATATTCGGGTGTTTATTCCGCGCGCAACAGTTCTCTAGAATCTTATCAGCTGTTATGAGATAATGATATCATATCTCAGCTTGAATTTGATTGCAGTGGAAACTATAACAATAAATTCTAAGATTATCACGGGTTACTGTTTTATTTTCAGATTGTCTAGGTCCCAGGAGGAAGAATCAGGTGCAAGTATCGCAACACCTCGGGATGCAGCAGCGCAACCGTAGTCGCGTGTTGCCCGACGAGGAGGGCTTCCCGGCGCCTCCTGAGGGCTCCTCGCTGCCCTCCAGGGACGGCGAGAGCGGGGAGATCCTCGGGGACAAGGTGGTGGCCCTCAGGAGGGCGCCCGAGGAGCCCCCCCGGCGCCTCCGCCTCCGGCCGGGCGTGCCCCGGGGGAGGGACCAGCCCGGCCACTACTCTCTGCTCAAGCAGCACCAGCAGTTCAGCGGCTTCAGGATTCGGGACGCCTTGGCTCAGCAGGGAGGACTGCGGCTGAGGAAGGGCAGCATGAGCTACAGCAGGGGACCCGTGCCTGTGCTGCAGCCTCAGCAGCAGATGCGTGTGGAGATGAGGGGCGGCGCCCCCGTGTGGCAGGCGGCCTTCCCGAGGGAGCCCCGGCAGTGGCAGGAGGAGTGGGGCCGAGTGCGCTTTCGGCCGCCCTTCCGCGTCCCTCGGGAGAGCCTGCCGGAGTCTCGAATCAGTCTCCCGATTAGAAATCCCGATCAAATTTGCGTGAACATCTGGGAGGAGTTTCTGCTGGGAACGAATGTCCTCAAAAAGAACGGGAAGCACATCGTGGACGAACAGTCTCTGCTGAAAGACGTTCTCCGCCGCCGCCTGGAACGGATCCTTCCCAAGGTCATAGTGGATATGTTAACCTACACGATCTTCTTCGTGCTGTTCTTCCTGTCGTGCCTCAAGTACAACATGTTCTGGCAGCTGGGGTGCTACATACTACTCCAGGGCCACCTGTCCATCCACGAACGGGCGTACGAGAACGGCGTCGACATCGAATTCACGGGGAGTGCCTTCCAGGGGCCCGCCTACGCCTGCGTCAGGTCCTGGTGCCAACACTGCATACACAGAGAAAATGCCAAAGTGATTATCCGGTTAATGAAGAAAATGAAACTGGACATACTGACCTCCAAAAAGCTATAGAAATATGACACAAAGACGAGATTTCGCTCGTGAAGTATGAAAAAATGTGAAAAGTAAATGGTAATGTTAAACGTTTTTAATGCGAATATGTTAATTATAATTATTTCTCGGTACATACATCTTGGACATTCTAGTCAATAAATAATCATTTTTATCTATATTTATGCCAAAGACTGTATATTCACACACAATTAACTACACACAAAGAACACATACAGTATGCATTTCTACATTATCATATATGTATGTAGTTATATGCATTTATAGAAACGTATTCTCCCTCTCTCTCTCTCTCTGTCTCTCTCTCTCTCTCCCCCCCCTCTCTCTCTCCCTCCCTTCCCCCCTCTCTCTCTGTGTCTCTGTATGTCTATCTGTCTGTCGCTCTCTCCTCTCCCTCCCCCCTCTCTCTCTGTCTGTGTCTCCCTCCCCCCCCCTCTCTCTATCTCTCTGTCTATCTGTCTGTCTGTCTCTCTCTCTCACTCTCTCCCTCCCTCCCCCCTCTCTCTGTGTGTTCTGTCTGTCTCTCTCTCAGTCTGTCTGTCTGTCTCTCTCTGCCCCCCCTCTCTCTCTCTCACTCTTCCCCCCCTTCTCTCTCTCTGTCTCTGTCTCTCTGTGTCTCTCCCTCCCTCCCCTAATCTCTCTCTCCGCCGTATATAATTACGTCCACAAATCTAATCACACGACAGAGGCGAGGCTCCGACCGACGACAACGGCCGAGGAGCGCAAGGTTAAACGGCGCGGGAAACGTAAACAAACATGGCGCTCCCTCCCGCCGACGGAAAAAAAATCGCTCGTCATCTTTTAGCCTTTTTTGTCGTTTTGCCTCTAGAATGTTTTATATTTATTATCTTTTTCAAATCTCTATATATGTTTATTTATGCTGATGTCATGGGGGTCGTCGGGTAATGTCGATGTCATGGGGGTTCTTTCGATTTTTTGTTTTGTCATTTTCTTAGTCTCAGCGTCGCTCTGTATGTAATTTACGGAAACTTCTATGGAATACGAACCTAAATCACTGTGATATTATATATATATTCTTTAAAATCTGTCTTCAACTCTGATGTAATTTTCGGCGGACTTATCTCACCAACCGTCATTTTTAAATCACTCCAAATTTTTTTTTAACGACTGAAACGAAACGTAAAAAAAAGAATTACTTCGCATGGATATGTGATCACGAATTCCCTTAGTGCCAAGTATTTTTTTTTTTTTTACGTTCACAGAGAGAGGTTTCCGAAGATCAGATTTTTTTTTCTTCAACTTTTAATCATTTGTTTATGAAATGTGTATTTATATATCTTGATTTTGAAAAAATGCGAATTGAATATTACGGATTATATTTCCCTAGCTAGCCATTAGTTGTATTGGAAGAAACAGAGGAGAGAAAGAGATAGAAAGAGGGAGGTAGGGGAGAGAGAGGGGTAAGGGGAGAGAGAGAGAGAGAGAGAGAGACGAGAGAGAGAAGAGAGAAGAGAGAGAGAGAGAGAGAGAGAGAGAGAGAGGAAGAGAGAGAGAGGGCGGGAGGGAAGGAGAAAGGGGGGGGGAGAAGGGAGGAGAGGAGAGAAAGAGAAAAGAAAAAAGAGAGAGGGGAGGAGGGAGAGGGAGAGGGAGAGAGGGAGGGAGAGAGAGAGAGAGAGAGAGAGAGAGAGAGAGAAGAGAGAGAAGAGAGAGAGAGAGAGAGAGAGAGAGAGAGAGAGAGAGAGAGAGAGAGAACCTTTCAGTCTCTAAAATAAACAAGTTAAAACCCCGAGAAGAATAGCTCTGTTATCTACTTTTGTCTATTTCTCCCGCCCCTCTTTCTAGCCCCCCCCCTCCTCTACCAAGGCGACCAGTCAAGCAGTATTGAGCAAAAGCTGTCATGTTTAATCTCTTAATTATATGTTACCTTTTCTTAGGTGGGTTTCTTTGTGTATAAAAAAAATATATATATATATTAATCCTCTGAGGATTTTGGTTGGGAAATCTTAAATTGTAATAAAAACAGTTTGTATATCAAAATAAGTGAAATCTCTCTCACTCTCTCACTCTCCACGTACACGCACACGCACCCACACACACAAATACACACACACACACGCACACCTTTTTCACTTAGTCATCAGGGAGTAAACATATTTTTTTCCTTCACATTTCGTTTTTAGGCTCGCGCCTTCCCTTCTCTCTGCTCTTTTGGTGGGTTAAGTGTATTTATTTGAATATATATATTATATATATAATTATATATTATATACACACACACGCACGCACGCACGCACACACACACACACAC